AGGTAGAGTTCTCCATGGAAATAAAAGGCATCTTGTAAAAACAGAATAAGTAACTTCAGTTACAGCACAAATAAATCTTTTATTATTATTATCATCATCAGAAATAGTTATATGAATGGAAAAAACAAATTACAGTGTGTGTGTGTGTATATGCCGCTTAAGTTTAGATCTTTCAAAAAATGATTTCTTGCACCAGTTACAGGAGTACGGTCGTTCTCCCGTATGTGTCCTCTGGTGAATGATAAGATGTTGGCGTTCATAATAGGACTTACTGCATATATCACATGAAAACCTCTTGTTGCCAAGATGAAACAGCTTGTGTCGAATTACTTCTCTTTTGGTATAAAATGCCACAGTGCAAATATCACATGCAAATGGCTTAACACCTGTGTGAAGTCTTTCATGTCTCTCTAAACCTGACTTGGTGAAAAATGACACTCTACAGATGTTGCAAAGAAATCTCTTTCCTCTGAGTGATGTCTCATGTGTGTTCGAAAATTGGACGAGGTTGCAAAGCTCCTATCACAGACATCACAGGTGTAGGGTTTCTCACCTGTATGTGTCCTTTCATGACCAAGTAACCCCTCCTTTGTAGCAAAAGCTTTCCCACACATGTTACATAAATACGGTTTTATGCCTGCATGCAATCTTTTATGTTCCTTCAGACGACCCACAAATGCAAATGCCTTATTGCATATGTTACAGAAATGAGATTTAATTGAGCTGTGAATGGCTTTGTGTTGTGTTAGTGCTCCTCGACGACAGAATGACTTACCACACCGGTCGCAAAGATATGTGCTGGTTTCACTATGCACCACTTCATGCTGTTTCAGGTAGTACTCTTTTGTAAAAGTTCTTGAACACATTTTACACACAAAAATCTTAGATCCCTCATCACCAATGTCCCAATTTGCCACTTTAAGCAAATCTGGAAGAGTTTCTCTTAATGTCTTACTTTTGGAATGAATTCTCACATGTTTAGCAAGGTCTCCAGTTCTGGAGAAAGAGCTACCACAGTCGTTACAGATATATGGACGCTTACCAGTGTGAACAACTTCATGTCTTTTGAGGTATACTTGTTTTGTGAAAGTTTTTGAGCATATACTGCAAACAAATGTTTGTTGCTTATTTGATAACTCTTCTGCAGAATGCTCCTTTGCAAAGTCCCCGAGAATACAGTGACTCCTTTTATGCTGAGACAGATCCCCAGGTCGAATGAAATTGATGCCACAATTGTTACAAGTATTCATTGCTCTCTTTGAGTGATTAATTTCATGTTTTGTAAGATAAATTTGTTTGGCAAATGATTTAAAGCAAGTTTTACATATGAATGATCCAGGTTCAACATGCTCTTTCAATGCTGATTCAGAAACCATCGTTAGTGAATTTGGTACACTGTCTACCTCTTGGTTTGCTTCTAAATGACCAGGGATCTTCCTGCAGCAATCAATAGATGTGTCTAATTCACTGCCTGAAGACATTCTTATCATATCTGTGGTATGATGAACCTTATTTCTGCTCTCATTAGCATTATGTCTTTGAGATAAAACATCTCTGTTGATACCGTCCAAGTATTGCACCTGTTAAGAAAGTTAAACTACAAGTTAACAGACAAATGTACTTTTTGCAGTTATTAGGATTCTGTTAAGTGTTGGCATTTTCTTTTACTGATAATGGACCTCTATCTGTATAAGATGAAGGCAATACTCAATAGTGGCAAAGCACACAGCATATCACAGATTTGTGCATTTCATTATGTCCCTGAAAACATAAAATGGTCATCTCAAAAGAGGAAAGAAATCTGCTTGGGAATTTCTTCAAATTAGTTGATATATGCCAAAGTACACATAACATGACAGTTAATAAACAGTTTAATTGTGAAAAAACATGCGCCTACTTATGAGATTTTTCAGAACTCATCCAACATACTGAAGTGGGAAAACTGCAGAATTTTGCAACATTACTCCATTTATCTTAAACAGCTCAATGCTTAATTAATCAATAGAAATTATTTGACTTGCCTGTCTACCTTCTAACATCTGGGTTTCTAAATGATCTTTTAATGTAGACTCTGAATATTTACACAATTGTTTGAAGTCATAGAACTTGTCAACAAGACTGGAGCATGATTCACATATTAATGTCGGCAAGCCATCCCCTTCAAACACCTGCAAAAATAGCATTATTTTGAAATAATTAGTTCAGATGAGAGACTATATATATATACAATGATATTTAAAAACTAGTTTTGGTACTGTAAACTAGGTCGATCTGACTCAGGATCCGGTTCATTCCTGGGATGTTGTCTTTGTAGTGATCGTCGTAGCCCAAATTTGGTTACTGTATCTCATATACAATGCAGCTGATACTAACCTCCAAAGACAAACAATTAGCGATTTTCTGCTTTAATGATACTCTTACAACATCACCATCACTGAATATAGGCATAGTACCGTCTTCCAAAAGACAAAGGCGACATAAGTGTGAATGGTATGAATTTTTTCCATTCATATTTGGAACTTCGTAATTGGTGTTCTGCATTTCCATTTAACATTCATAATCATTCTTAAAGTAAGTCACAATAAATATCCGCACGTTCTATAGTCTTCATAGCCAAATCAGTATATTCGTTGATAAACATGTAATTCCCATGCCGAATCGGTATTTTCTCATAAAACAAAACCTGAATATCAGATGGAAAATACTGCAAGAACTCTCGGTGTAGAACGCGTCGGCTACTTGCACAGGGAAGGTTCACCAAAATGTTCCAAATTTTCTAACAGTGTACTTTCAGAGAAAGGAAATAGTTGACTCAGTAGGTAGCACACCAGTACAATTACGAAAGAAATCAGGCATGAATCAAATTGAGTGCTGGTGGCTTACACAGACAATATCATAAGTAAAACGAGATTCCATTTTTAGTTACTAGATGGCACAGACAACACCAATGCTAAACAGGTACATGGAACATACCCATAATCACAGATGATCATCATATTTTTAATACCGAAATAAACCACTACTACAATGATAGTCACAGATGATATCTACATACGAGGGACGAAACTTCCTTTGGAAAGGGAAATAATACTGTAATAGCTATATTCGGCGCTAATATTGAAATCAACGTCGCCTGTAACACACAATTTTATTATTTGGATCCCAGTCTGTTCAAAAATACCACGTCTACAGAAAGCAACTGGACACTGATAAAATAGGTCGAAGTCAATCCATCAGTGTAAATTACCAATGCCAAAATAACTGTTTCCTATTAAATCTTATTCATCGCCTATTGTCTGCCTTATGTAAGGCTTCAAGAAGAGCCCAACCATTACATACCCTGAAGATAACAATTACAAGGCTTGCTTAGAGAGACCATGGAAATCTAAGAAGAATATCAATTAGGACAGCCTGTCTCCTGGCCAAGATTTTAATCCGGGACACTCAGAATATGACCTCGACGTCCAGTCGTTATAAACTGTGGAGGAAATGTAGCTACCTAACTTAAACTGAGCTACTTTTTTTTTAGTTTCAATATAAAATAGTGATTTTATATCTATAATGTGTTACTGCCGCAATCGAGTCGACTTTAAACTAATCAGCCTGACCAGCCAACCAACCAACCGACCTGAATGTAATCACAAGTTACATGACCTCCTGAGAAAATTTCCAAGAGAACTGGACAGTGCCCACAGCCATGGTAACTGATAAACAGAAAGAGAGCAATTTTATATTTACAAATCCCTATATTTCATCACACTCTTGCGACAGTACAACCCTGCACCTATGAAATTTTCAGAAATGATTTTTAGGGGAGGTGCTTAAACAACAGCGAATA